TTTGATAATACAAATTATCAAGGGAAAACAATTAAAGGGTATTAAAAGGAACAACTTCACCTAATTTTTGTATATCACAAGACTTGACACAGTAAAAGGTTATCGGTGCCTACTTAAGGGTAATACTCTCAATTAAAATATAGGTTATATCGATTTGATATTGAGAACAAATGGTCTAATGGAGTTACTTAGTTCGCCGCCTCGCATTAATCTTGCATGCCTTCGTGTAGACATGTTCTTGCAATAAAACAAGTTTTTTTCCTCATACGGACATAATCCTTGACCATCGGTTCTTACGATTCAATCTACACCATACATAATATCGAGATAATTAAAGAGAAATAGCTTCACAATTAGTAGGACGTAATTTTTACACGAAAATACAAAAATATTTTCGGTTGAACTCGAGAATAGATAGAATTCTAAATGAAGCAAAAAAAAATTACCTATTTAACCCATATTTATCTAAAAACATAAAACATTTTTAACAGAGACAGTCGTATAGTGACAGTAGCTCAATATTAAACCAGTCTTAGCCATTTTCAAATTGAGCTACAGTTTTCGAGAAATTGCTGAACAATGACAGATTCCTGTAATATAATGTGTTGGCGTCTGTGCTAAGAACATTGAAACAAGGAAACCATCAGTTTTCCTAACAAACTAAAGACCTATTAAACCTAACTCCGTACAATTTAAACAGTAACCTTGAACTCAATTTCGTAAAATGAGTTCTACTGCACCAGGAACTCTGTTCCAACTTCCTTCACATCGAAAACGCTAATTGTACCTGGCCACATTGTTCTAATATCAAACACTCTTCCGCTATAAAAAATATTATTCATTGCAATATAAGTCTACACATAATATTAATATTGCCTTTGCTAAAGAATTTTTACTTGTAACTAAGATCAGCTTTACTATACCGATACGTACATACAGTTTAATAATTAAGTACGTATTATTGCATTATTGTTAAATAATCATTGGAAATTAGTAGTCATCATAGTTTAAAGATTGGGTTGGATATGCCAACCATGCAGTTTCTTCCTCCTATCCAAAAGACTACGTTTTGGTAGGAGCAGGATTCCACTGTAATTAAACACGATACCGACCCAACATTTGCCTCACCTTTTACACAATACTTTTTCCTCGTCTTTTTGGTAAAAGACTATAACATCTCTCGACTTTGTACCTCAGTCGTGAACACTTAAGTATTTTCCATAAACACAAGGCAAACGCATTGGAACCTACAGCTTGAGTTCGTGGCAAGTCACGACTTCCCATTATCTACAAACACTTCGTTGTAAATATTGTGAATATGCCCAGACATTTAAAATATTCAAAAGGCTACCTTGGTATTTAAAAATAAAATTTAAATCTTTAAAACCAGTTTTAAAACGCAACTACTGAGTTCAAAGCTATAATACAAACATTGATGATACCATTAAATAAAATGCAACCAAGAGTTTATTTTTAATTAAGAGGTAGACGTTAGTATAATAATAAAATATTAATTTGAACAGAATATTATAATTGTGTAGTTAGTGGCTACCGAATACTAAGGTTTCCACGGTCAGGCATTGGTAACATGCATTGACCTAAACGATTTAATTACCATATTAATGAAACAAAATACAGGTAACTTTGGTAATAACATACTCTATCATTTTAGGAATTGGTTCTATTAATTACTTCAGTTTTATTGCCAATAAGCAGGGTATTGATTACCCAAGTATTTCCGCCCGCAGTATGTTTTTGCCATAGACATAAAAAAAAGAAACGAAAGGTCAGTGGCGTCTCGCCAAGGCCTGTGTGATGTTAAGAGATTTAAATTGCTGATACTGCAAGATTAACGTGCTTAAGAAATTCTTCAGTGTTTTATTTCTACATTATTTTATTACATTATACATTGCAAACCGTCTAAAACGCACGGTAAATTCATCTCATAGACTGGATTGTTATTTAAAAGAAGGATTTTAATTAGTAAATAATAAATTCTATTTTTACACTAACAAGTGTCCGAAGACCTTGTAAATGGTCTTTAATCTTTAAAGATTGTTGACGCTCTTCCATACCAATGAATAATAGTGAAGAGTTTTAATTCTACAAGTCACTACATATTATGACGCCCACGACGGTGACTACGATGTCTACGACGACGCCTACGACGACTAAGACAACTACGAAGGTGACTACGACACCTATAATACCTTCGAAGACTTCGACGATGACTACAGTGTCTACGACGACTACGACGATACGACACCTACGACTACGACATCGACTACGACAGCGACTACGACGCCTACGAAAATTACGACAACGACTACGACTTCTACGACGGCTACGACACGATTACACCGGCGACTACGATATCAACAACTGTACTACGAGTACAGATACGTACTTACTTAATGGCTACGTGTCATATTTAGTTTCTGGAAACGAAATTCTGGTACCCAATGATAAAACTCAAAAGAATAGGATTTTCCGAACAGAACAATTATTACCATACCAAAAATGCTAATGTAGGTCATACCTAAGATAACTTTGGAAAATTAAATTGCCTTAATAAAGTTAAATTGCGTTAATAAATACGTTGAGTTGTCGGTAATGTTTGAAATTGTTGCATTTTCTATAATGAGGGCATGTACTCTTAGGCGTGTAGGTTCTCAGAACTCAAAGAAAGTATTTACAATTTTTGGAATCCGAAAGTGCAATAGTAGCTCACACGGCAGCGCTACACTTTCCCTCGTATCACTGTTAACAAACTTGGTAAAAACGTTAATAAATTATTGACGTTTGCCAATATCGCAACGCAACTGCTGAAACGTGCAATCCATACTTACCGACCCGACGCGATACCATACGATACGTCTAAAATAATAATATTGTACCGGTTTATAGTCTCGTTCTTGATTATATACATTATTTACCCAAGGTTTTTTGGTTGCCTGTGCACTCAATGTTCAAAAACCAGCTCACAATCCATAATTCATTGGGCATTATAGATTGATCGTACCAACTATTTCTTTTTTCTGTGTTCGTACCCAAAACCATTTCGTGAGTGCAACCAATTTCTAGTATTCGTGGTGCAATGAAAGCAGTTTACAATTTGAAACTTCAGCCACGATAGCTTTCTACAGAACATCGAGAGCGGTCTGAAGCATTTGATAGTCAATAAATGTCTGCAATTGCAATCGTTATGTTCCACACACAATACAAATGCACAGTTACATATTGACCAATATCCTAATATCCATTGACATCACAATTTTTTTTTTTTTTCCTGTTAGGAAGTAACTTATTATACTACTGAAACTATAAACAGTGCAATTATAAGGTAACATTGCACACGGAATCTTTTTTCTAGGCGGAAATCATCGTAACATCCTCCGATTTCAAAGAAATACATGTTTAACTCGCTAAAATCAGTCTAAAGCAAATAATTATTGTACAGCTACAGCTACATGTTTCGAAGGTAGCATCCATCGATTTAGTTGTGGGCAAAAAATCTGACGTTGTACTGTCAACGACCTGTGGTTAACTTTTGTATGACGTAAGCTACGATTAGGGGAGCAAAGCATTCTACGTTGTATGAAGCAGTCGGTTGACCCTACATCTAAATAAAACGATGACAATAGAAGATTGCGCTCAACGCAATATTGTTCACCAGGGTACAAAGGTAGCACCTTAAATTGATTAACTGCTTCAATTTGCAAGCAGTTTAATTTAATTAAGATCTTTGCGGATGGAATAACGAAGCTAGGTATGATCTCATTGAATCATAAAAACGTCATAGTAATTGATGTTGAGAATTAAAACATATGGTGAGTAACTAGCAACAGCTAGAAATACTTAACTGAGTGAATTTTTAAAACAAGCAAGGTCTGCGACGGAAAGATTTCTAATCATTCCTATAAAGAACTAATTAGATATAAGGCACTCAACAAAAAATAATTTATTTTTATAGCAAAGATATTGTAAAAACCTTTTAATAATAATTAAAGCCATACAAGGAGCTGAGAAAAAAACTGACATGATTACAAGTCATGGCGAAGATGGCGAACAAAACAGGCTCTGAAAAACCGGCTACGACATGAGAATGAGAACGGTCACCAAATTGGCCCAACATTGTAGTACTCAGGTTTTTTGAATATCGTATGATATTTTGTAAAAAGGTATGTTATACTACTAAATCTAGAACTAAAACTGAATATTGTTCTATCCTAAACAAGTTTGCTATCATAAATTAAAATAGGTGTATAAGTTGTTTGTGTACGCAACTATCATCGCTATCTAATTAAGTTAAATCAGAGCACAATTTCGTACTAACTGATAAAAATAGTAAAAGATAGTAGTACTTTAGGTTGGAAAACATTTACAGTAGATAATTAGACACGCTACAAGGAAGACTGAAAATGTTATCATTAAAGGATTGAACGTGAATGAAAAGAAACTATCACCGAATATTTACTTTGATATTGCAATAAAGAAAATAAACCGACTAGAAAGTCTAGAAACGTTATAAACATCCTCACAAGCAAGTCCTCTAGACATGTAGAATCTACGTACCTATCCAACATGTAGACCTCAATATCATTGCAGCTAGTCGTAATAATGTAGAACAAACGGGGTTGCGGTTATAATCTGTTATTTCATCAAGTTATCGAAGACGTTAATATTTTTTCCGATAACTCAATGGTATTCGTGCAGTAAGTAGGTAGGTATGGAAAATTGGAAAATGGTACTGTAAACTTGGTTGATTAGAAAATAACTATCTCAATGGTGAGCGAATTAAAACTTACAATGAGGGACAATTGGTCATGATGTGGATTATAATTTATATTAATTATTGTTAACCATATCTAACATCAGTAAAGGCTACAATTACCCACCAATTTCAGTACATGAAACGTCCTTGGCAGTGATTTTTGCAGCTACCCACCCGCACCACCATCGTCCAAGTTCTAACAATGGCTTAATACGATAAGGCTTACCTTAGACATTTCGTCAACCTTTCAGAGCAATCACTCTTAACACCTTTTTTCACTTTTCCATATTTAGTGTATTTAAAGCATCGGGTTTACAATTTGTCGTCGAAACACTGGCTAAGCGCGGAAATAATCGTGTCGCATTTTCGAGACGCCGTTTCGTGGCGAACACCCGATCAATACTGTCGGTCGGTGTGTCGTTACCGGCGGATAAGGTAAAAAACACAGCGTTGGTTACGCGTGCGCGCGCAATCTGTTGTTGACTGACACGGCGCATGTGTGTCGGATGCCGCGACCCCTGGCTGGCGAACTACTATAAGGACATGAGTTCGCAGCAATGCCATCATTTCTGACAATTACTATTTCATTACATTTTAACAAATACAATAATGAAAATCTTAAGCAATAATTACTACTAAAAGATAGGTAACGAATGATGATAGATATTATTGATTTAGTGATAAGAACTGTAATACAACACAATACGTATTATGTACTTACTTAGGTGTTTGTTGTAGATACCGCGCAGATACTGATGTCATCTTTATCATAATCCAACATCATCATCATCGCCATCACCATTATCATCATAATCATCATCACCAGCCGGAAGCCATTCAATATTAAACAAACGCCTCCCACTTAAAGGTTCATGATAACAGCGCTTTGCCTTGATCGCAATTAGTTCACCTAAAATTTAGGGAATGCTGTAGATAAAATATACTAGATACATATTTTCTTTTTATCCGTGGCTACTAACCATCTCTCGACTTTATTCTAATTGTATATTATCTATCTCATGAGTTAGTAACCTAAAGTTCCAGCTAAGTACACATAACACAGAATCATAAAGTACTCAGAACTTCTAACTCTTAGGAAATGTCCTCACAATAGGCAATTCACGATTCAACTATTTTCTCCCATGTAGATACCGAGTTAGTACTATTTTTTAGGTCGAATGTTCGACAATCGAGGCATACCTTACGGAGGTCCGTCATTTACCCCGGTTACCGGGGCGAGTGGAACCGGCGAGAGATGTCACGCGGTGTTCCACAGTGTTCGGTTCTGGGGCCGCTCCTGTGGAACATCGGCTATGACTGGGTGCTGCGCACCGACCTCCCGAGCGGCGTTAGCACAATATGCTACGCCGACGACACGCTGGTGCTAGCGCACGGGAGGTCGCACCAGGCGGCGGCCGATGTAATGGCGACAGCGGTTGCGGCCTAACCCCAGCGTATAACCTCCTGCCGAAGGTTATATGGCTAACCCTGGCGTATAACCTCCGGCAGGGTCGCCGGTCTCGTGTATACGCCGGGGTCGTGCGGTCCATGGCCCTCTACGGCGCCCCTGTTTGGGCACCGAACTTGCTGCGGCGGCCCGCTCGGGCGCTGCTCATAGCACAGAGACATGGAAGTTTCGGAAGGTACCTGTGTCTGATCGTACGGGAGGAAACGCCCGGGTGTCATCACTGCGAGGACCGCCCTAAGGACACGGTGGAACACATTGTAGTGGAATGCCCTGCGTGGGCTAAGCACCGCCGTGCCCTCAGGGAAGTGATCGGCGATGGTGATCGGGGGGCTCGACGTGCAGGAGAAGGAACGGGGTGGTTTTTAGTCAGTAAGAGTCTGACACTCCGCCTCACCCAGGCGGGAGGAGCCATTCGATGATTTTCCCCCTTTAAAAAAAAAGGGTCACCATTATTGCTAAAGTATAGTAACCTCAGAGCCATCACAATACGTTGCGGACCGTGTAGGAAATTTGTTATTTTCAAGGCCCTCCTCTTCTTCTCTGTCTCTGAAAGTAGATATAGGAAGTAAGTGCAGGAAAGTGACCACCTTCACCAGACAAATGGCAGCAAAATTACGTCATTACTTCACAGTCACGCCGGTACCTATTCTATGAGGGTGAGGACCAAGTTTCGAACATGTACGTAATTATTGTATACCAATATTAATTGTACATACGTTTCATAAAATATACATTGAACAAGATATTAAATAAAACCTTGAAAAACAGTGGTTCAACAAAATTCAACATGTCTATTCTTCTACCATGTTAAAATAACAAATCGTTCTTAATTTTACATTAACTTTTTGAATCTAAAAAGACCGGAACCCCAAAACTTTTATTAAAAAATTAAACTCACTGAACTCGTTGGCAATGACAGTGACAGTGACAGTGACATGTTGATTTTGAACATTGTTGTGGAAATGTGGAGTGTGGATTGGAAACCCGTACTTCACTTCGTCAAATAAATGTGAAAATGACGATGTAATTAAACGATTACTATAATTAAAAGCCAATACGAACGATACTGAAACGATTATTACAATCATTGACGAAATTAATTTATTGATATACAATAAACAGTTACAATGGTGTATACATCGCTAACTAAATTCAATATTCAAGATCTAGTGCCAGGATCAACAAAAACAAGCGGAAAAAAGATTGATACGGATGCGATTTTACCATATTTTATTGTACCGGGATTATTGTTAATAGCTACAATATCACGTACAGTCACTATTACAGTTATGGTAGTGATTGCCATGGGTGCTTTATACGTACAGTCCAGACCGCGACAGAAAAACAGGTACATTCTCTACTTTCACTTTATAGATTCATATGCGCTTAGAGATTTTTTTTTCTATACTCTGACCGAAATATTTTATATCATATCTATAATTTACATCTACATGAAGATGATTAATTAATTTCTGCAGGATTAACTTAAGTATATAATTTGAGATTTCTGTTCAGTATAATAAACTGATAACGCGTTAATAATGATTCATTGATCTAATATGTCAGTCTATGAACTATGAAATAAATGAAAAACAATTTGTAATTTTTAAGTACCTACATACTTAGTTACTTTAGAAAATTAAACTGTGTATAATGACGGTACTCAACGAGTTAAATTGGGAAATATAATAAGAAATACATTGGTACATTTTTGTTTGTTGGTTTACAGGTCCTCATTTTTCTTCTCATGGACATTATCATCTGCAGTTTGTTTGTTCCTAATATTTGAGAATGGTATTTTGGGTTTCTTTGAAATAACTATGTTGGAAAATTTTATATTCCTAGTACTTTTGGCTTGCACTTTATATTTCTTCTACAAAATGAAAATAATTGCTGAAAATGAACTGACTGGAACTGGAACCAAAGGAAAGGAGTACAGGTATCAGATTTTATACTTTTTTTTTAATGAAAATAATTAACATACACATAATAGATTTATTGTATTTGTATTGAGTACTTACTTAGGTTTCAATTTGATTTTAGCCCAGTTTTGACATCAGATTCACATTATTGTCAAATATGTCAAATTGAGGTGAATGAAAGATTCTTCCATTCAATATGGTAAGTCTATCTATTATATACATATTAAAATAAAATTGAAGAAAAGTCCAACTGTATATTTAACATTTTTTAAAAGAATACTTGGGATGATGATCTGTATTTGATATCGAAACAAAAATATAGTTTTTAAGAATTTTGTCTGTTTATCTGTTTGTCTGTATGTATGCCTGGGCTTTACTTCTAATTTTGCACGAATATTACTAACAGGTTGAGTAAACATATAGGCTACATATTATCTATCACATATGGGGGAGGCGCTGTGAAATAATCCAAAGTCACTATTCCATGCAAAGTCACGGGCACAGCTAGTACAAATTAAACTACACTGCACATAATTATCATGACTGTTACTGCACATCTTCCATTCATTATCATAATGAAACAGTGAATAACTTATGATGTTATTTTATATTTTTATGGATATTAATTATTTACTAGCGATTTGTCTAGATGAGAAAGTCATTTTAAGGAAACAGCCATTAACTGCCATGACAGTAACAAGCAGTTTGATGATCACAGAGGGTTATGATCTTTGGCTGTAAAATCTGACAACCTCCTATTTAATTGTTCAGTAAAAAAAATATTTCATTAAGTAGTTTAAAAATGGTTGTTTTTTCCAGGTGGGACTGCTGTGTACTAAGACCTAACTATATTCACTTTCTTGCTGGTCATATATTTGCTTTTGCCACACTTCTGCTTGGAACCAACTTGGGTCTAACAACAGTTTGTCAACCCTTCATACTATATGAAGCAATTCTCATGCCTCTTGATTGTGAAGATATCTACTATGACTTCAAGTAAGTAATATCCCATATGGTCTGTAAGAATGTATCGAAATTATCAAACTAAAATGGCGCACGTAACCCACCACCAACCTAACATCATTATACAACACATCTGAATTATTTGGCCCACCAGATTCATATAAACGTAAAACTAGCATAGACCGAAAAACAATATGATATTCCGGTCGGACCGATCATGGCATTACTTGGGTACGGAATTACTGACCTATCTTAACCTGAGTATTCTAATGATTTTATCACTGTTTTAAAACTTACGCGTACGTCGTAGGATGCTAAGATGGAACTAAACTTATAGATGTGTAGATTTATAGACATTCTTTTCAATATCCAATGAATAAATGCAATGGAATACTAACTTCTGAATGTTTTCTTCAGCATGTCGATATCCTTCGTTGCCTGTGTCTATGCATTAGGATATGCATTAGTCATTGCCGTGGTTTTAATTCGACAACTGATAGTCTACCTGCCAAAATACAGCGGTACGTACAATCTTCCATTTATTCTATTCTTACAAATGACCGTAATGCGATAGTTTTCCTGTTTAACTCATGAAATAATATTCTTAAAGCCAGTCAGCTAAAAGCTGACCACAACTACTCCGTGGTACTAATAATGAAATTGTTCGATAAACTTTCAAATAAACCAGAAAAAATATAATAGTAACTCATAACTGAAACTAAGACCCTCATTTAACTAGCAGTCCGCTTGCGACCTCTCAACTGAAATTCCTTCAGCAAAAAGAGGAATGAGAGAAGAAAGGTATTTATTTATTACATTTTACAATGTTTTGTTACAGAACCACAATGGAAAAAACTAGTCAATGTGCTCAATGTATGAAGGAAAACATGGATTTCTTGAGTTGTACTTATGTTGTATCATTTAAAATGCGCTTTAGTGCCTCAGTTCTACGCGTTCATTTTAAGATTGATTGTGAATTAATTCTGCAATATGAATGCATTTAATTTAAGTATTTATTTTAGCTATAAAATCGTAAGACCGATTTTAAAAATCATTTGGAAATTCCAAAGGTAATTTCCTGAACTAAGTTAATATACCATTTCTATAAATATAATAACATATCGTACTCGATTATTTTATGTTGTAATATTATTTCAATGGGTACATAATAAATTTTCTTTGTAAAACATTTTTATATACCTACGTTTATACCACTGTACTGTAAGTATAATTTGATCAACTTATTATACTCGTAATTGTTGGTGACATTCACTCATTAATTGCCGTTCTGTTCTTAGATACTAGATGAGCAGAACAAATTAATTAGAAGGATGAAGAAATTGTGTTAAACCGATTTAATTATTCAATCCAAACCCCTCACTGTAAGTAAACGCCGAATCGTAGCTAAGGTTCTAAACATATTCTAAAGCGTTTTGTATTTCAAGGGATAGTTACAATAATTTGCAGAGATAAGGTTGAATTCGCTGTGACGTTGTGAGACTTGCGTTATTATGAATGGACCCTGGTGAAATGGGGTATTCTTATTTTTATGATCGACAGTTTAACCGTAGGTACCGTAAGTTGTATTTCGCACAAACATTCCACACAATTTTTTCATACAGGTAATGAA